CATATACCTACGTTGTCACTACATCGTTCAGCATTCTGCTTCATTCCAGCATCATCAGCCGTTGTTCATCCACTCCGGAGTCAAGACCTCTCCTAGACTATGCCACAAAAATTTGTTTTGTGATTTTCATTCATCCTGATCATGAGAACTTCGTCAGCCATCGACCTGGAGGTCTTTCAAAGAGCCGTTCTGCTGCCTATTGGAACCAAGGCTAATGCTGATACGGTCTAGCAATGGTCGGTTCTTTAAGTAACGTATTTTGTCCATTGCCTCGAACTTTTTCATTTGGGCAGTGACATCGTATACTCCTGTTCGTGCTCCTATACATGTATTCGCCCTCGTACCTTTCCGCCCTATTCCCAGCATACAGTTTTCTATGACGCGTAACATTGTCTTCAATTTCTGATTAGCTTTAAATCTTACCGTCAAAGTTTCATGCTCATGGCTTATCACTGAGAGCACACACTGGTCGAATTCTTTCCGTTTCATGCACAAAAGCAGTTTCCGGATGGAAACACCTTCAGTCGTCAAAAGCGCCCCTGTCCTTATGAAACTTCTGCTAAAATTGTAGGTTTAGTTCCATGTCGCGGAGAGGAGCTGCCCAAGCCAAACAGAGTCCTGCACATTTTCAAGTCGAAGTACATTGACTTTAACACACTGTGGAATTACATTTTGTCAAACTTAATCTAAGAGCTCTTCAGGTTCATTTTCAATGCAACTGTGATGCGCATTCTTGGATTATACATAAGAGTTCCTGTGGTGACTCTGTGAGGATGGAAATGTCGTCCACAAATCGCAGGTTATTTAAGTAATGCCCATTTATTTTCAGCCCTTAATTTTCCGACAGAGTGTCGTGAAAACCTTTTATAGGGCTGATGCGAGCAACTTTGATGATATTAGTTATCCCTGTCAAACGCCCTTTTCGATTTTGATCTTGCTTGTGCTTTCGTGGAACTAAACGTTGGAGGTTGTGCTCCTGCTAATCATAGCGATAAAGTTACTGTATTATTTCTCCATTCCCTGGCTCCTAGAGAAATCTAGTACAGAATGGACAGAATCCACTAAAACTGACATAACATCGAAAGGACCGAAAGGAGATCAGGCGTTTATTCGACTCAAGTGGAATGCTTGAACGGCACCAAGCGTCGCCTGCAATGTAATGGAATGAAAAGAAGAATGTTATCTAAAATCCTGAAACGGTACTATGCGGTCATCCGGGATAACATTGGGGTTATGTCCATTTGAAACCTTTCTCAAGAAAGTCACATGACGTCCACAGTTTAAATTGATGCCTGCCTCAGTGCGATCAACCATAACTTGATTTTAAAATGCACCAACTCCGCTAATTTGATTCTTCTCTGGTAAATCAGCCGATAAAATTCATTGGATGTTTTGTCTGAATCACCTTCGAATTTT